CCCGCCCCCAAAGCCACTTCTCTCCCCTCCTTATCTGCTCTCTGAGCTCCTTCGTTTGAAGCTGCTCAGCAAGATGGCCCTTCTCCCAGCCAGTGGGCAGAGCTCCCTCCCTGCCTGGGAGCCCTGAGCTTCTGGGAGGGGTTCATTAAACAGCTGTGGGGCCGTGCAGCTTTCAGGGACCCTAGGCATCAAGGGGCTCCCTGGGAGTGGGGCTAGGAGCACACTGGCTGCTGACCCTTGGGGAGCATTTTAGTAACTGTGTAAGCACTACAAATTGTTGCAGCTACAAGATTACTAAAATAATCCCTCCCTGCCTGGGAGCCCTGAGCTTCTGGGAGGGGTTCATTAAACAGCTGTGGGGCCGTGCAGCTTTCAGGGACCCTAGGCATCAAGGGGCTCCCTGGGAGTGGGGCTAGGAGCACACTGGCTGCTGACCCTTGGGGAGCATTTTAGTAACTGTGTAAGCACTACAAATTGTTGCAGCTACAAGATTACTAAAATAATTGATATCTAAGATCCTTATTTTAGAGCAGAATGCAGTGGTTGAGATTGTGTTGTGACATGCAAGTGGGGACAAATATAGTAGTTACATACTTAAAGCTACAACTTGTGATGGTGGTCTCACCTGTTATGTAAAGGCAGGCGTAGGCACATAAGAAACCTCTAACAGATTAGGCTGTACAACAATTGTCAGATGCAAAGACCAACTGAAATGTTTTGCAGTTTCACTTTCTTAGCTTTAAAAACTGCATTTTTCTATTTTACTAGGGATGTTAGTTACATGCTGATCCCTGCCTTGAAGAGATTACAATCTAGAAAGGCCACCAAAATAGGAAGGGAAATGAAGGCACAGAGTTAGAGATGTTAAATATCAGTTAATTGAATAGTCGATTAACCTCATGAATTCTTATCAGTTACTCAAATATTTTACAGTCCCCCGGGACAGGGCTGGCAGCCAGTGTACTCCAGCCCCACTCCTGAGGAGCCCCCTGCCTTGGTATCCGAGGCAGTAGCAATGGGTGCCAGGCAGGAGCTGGTCCATGAGGGGAGCCAGTTTAAAAACTAGCTCCCCTCGTGGACTAGCTGCCTGTTGCCCCATGCTGCTGCCTCTAATGCAGAGGCAGCCAGGCAGGGCGGAGGGGGCGGGGTGTCTGAGCTCCCAGACATGACGTGAGCCAGGCTGCTTGCCTGCATGGCTCCTAATACAGTTTAAATGAAGAGCAGGAGTAGGTCCTGGACCTGGTATGAGCCAAGCTGCTGGCTAGTCTGCTTAAAAAAAAAAAAAAAAATACTGGGGGGAATGTGTGTAGTCGAAAGCTTATAGGTTAATGCTATTGCTTATCTGTTAATCGACTACACTATTACATCCCCGTTCCTGGGAAACCCCCTGCCACCCCACACTGCTGCCTCTGCATCCTATCTGCTGACCCATGCTGCTGTCGCCTTTGATACAGCAGCTAAGATTCCTCTAGGGTGTGCTGCTGCATGGGCACGCACAAAGAATTTGAGTTCTGCCCACCTCCTCAGCAGAGGCGCAGCAACACTCACCTTTTTGGAAGGTAAGATGGTGGTGGGCTCTGTTGATACAGCAGCTAAGATTCCTCTAGGGTGTGCTGCTGCATGGGCACGCACAAAGAATTTGAGTTCTGCCCACCTCCTCAGCAGAGGCGCAGCAACACTCACCTTTTTGGAAGGTAAGATGGTGGTGGGCTCTGTGGGAGAGAAGGGGGACAGAGTTGTGTGGTGGCTGCCCAGCTGCTGTGGGGGTACATGGTGGGTGTCCAGCCCCTGTACATGGGGCAGCCACCGTGCAGCCCTGGCTGTAGCTCCAGCCCTTCAGGGCTGGAGCTATGGCTAGGGTCATGTGGGGGATGCTCTGGCGGGCTGGGGCTGTGGGAGCGGAAATGTGTGAAGCCAACAGGATTAATCAGTAAGCCCCAGGCATCCCTATATTTGACAGCTTATTGGATAGTCTACTGGAGTATTGACTACTTGCTTTCTCTTCTCTCCCCCCTCCCCCCCCCCCCACCAACCACCACCAC